CCGCCCCTGAAACATGTCAGCCTCCACCCCGGATCATCCTCCGCCTGCTTGACAATGCAATCTACATAATTCTGATGTGTAGCCAAAATCGACACCCCAAGCTCATCATTCCATCTCAGTGCGAGGCCACCACCACTCCCGTTACTATCCACACACTAGCAATGCTGGAATCCCTGGTGATGCATCAATTCCCATGCTCTTTGTCCGTTGATCTTGGTCTCCATCAGCAAAAGAAAGGTTGGACGGTACCCTTGAATGAGGTCGGCCATCCCTTGAACGGTCGCTGCATTCCCCAATCCCCTATAATTCCAGCTAATAATACTCATGTTCCAAGAGAGGAAACAAAATCAAGCCAGACGTCGTGCCTGGACAGCCACCGCCGGAAAAACCCGCCTAGATAACCCTAGGAGTCGACCGCTTTTGTCTTTTCCTCTCTCCAAAAAATATCGGCGCAAGAGATACTTAATAAATGTATGTTTATTTCATGAGATCGATGCATTTATTAAAACACGATTTAACATTAGGATGTTGATTATAACTTTGAAAGATTTCATTCTTCCTCACTACCATTCACATCCCAATTCCATCCACTACCACCTACATCACCCCACACCGAACCACCCACCACCTACACCCTGCACCTCTTACTCTCCCTACCCACTTACCCTATCTTCAAATCCTACTCCCAAACCCTTACCCCAACCAAAAAAAACCCATGGTTGATAAGGTAGGGGTGGGAGTTAAGGGTTGAGGTTGGGGTAAAGGCAATGTGAAAGGGTGAGAGCAGGGGTACATATGAGCTGAGCCGCTCGTGAGCCGCTCGTCAGCTGCTCGGTCAAAGCTCGAATCAAGTTTGGTCAAACTCAAGCTCGAACCGGCTCGTTAAGCAATCGAGCCATAAACGGGCCTACTAGTTTTAGGCTCGCTAGCTCGCGAGCCTAGTTTTATATGTGTGTATATTTATACATTTAATATATATATATATATATATATAATATTAATATAAATTAATATATAATATATATTAGTATATATAATATATCTAATATAATTTTTTTGATGGTAAACTAGCCTTTCCATTAGATTAATAAATCATTAGCCACTTGGCTCGTTACATTCAAAGGCAAAAACTCTTGAAAGCTCCTACGATCTGAACTTAAAACGGTTGCTCTAGCTAAACCATGAGCAGCCCGATTTGCAGACCTTTTACAAAAAGACAAAACAAACTTGACGTTTCCTTTAAGTAAATTCCTAATGTCATCCACAACCAACCCCAAATATGTTTGGTCTTCTTCTGCTTGAACCGCCTGAACTACTTGAAGGGCATCTCATTCCAATTCCACATGTCTCCAACCCTTCCTAAGTGCTCCAATAACTGCTTCTCGTATTCCTCTCGCTTCCGTTTCAGCCGAAGACCAATCTGCTTCCACAACCAAAGAGTCAGCCCCTACTACTTCTCCTTGTGAGTTTCTCCCTATCCATCTCCACGCCCGCTTTCCTCCACCATCATTAACTGCAGCATCCACATTAAATTTAATCCAACCCGGCTCTGGCCTCCTCCATTTTTCCCCTGCCTTTGGTACCTGCGGCCTTGACTCTCATCCCTTTGCTTGGGCCTCCCTTCAACCTTGTAATGTAGCTTCCGCACATCTTCGAACACCCCCCTGCTTAATATTCTTCCAAACAAGGTCATTCCGCCGCTCCCACAGACTCCACAGTATCATTAAAAAAGTACTCCAACTGTCATCATTCTTTCCTTCCAAGTATTCGTCAACCCAACTTTTCAAACTCGGAGTTCGGCTGCTCGTATTAACACCAACCGAATCCCAAACCTTTTGCGCTTCCCACAGAGGTGAAGAGCATGATCTATTGTTTCCCTCCCCCATATTGCACACCCTACACTCTGCCGGGATCGTCACTCCTCTGCTTCGCAACTTTGTCGCCGTGGGAAGGCACCCTTCCAATACTTGCCAGAAGTAGTACTTTATTTTTGGTGGTACATTTAATTTCCACATTTTGCTCCATTTGTTCCATGTTGTCTGATTTCTGGGCCCCGTTAACAATTTATAACAACTTTTGACTGAAAATCGACCATCCTTCTCCCCATTCCACCAAAAACTATCCTCCTTATCAAACATACTAATCGGTATGTTCAATATTCTCCTCCTCTCCTCCTCTGTGAATAAACTCCTGACTCTCCCCTCATTCCATCTCTTCCCATCTTCACCTCTCAAAGCTGCAACATTCGTATCTCTAACACGTGTAGATTTTGCAGAATTAATACGTCCCATCCCTGGTCCCGCAACCAAGCATCCCCCCAGACTTGGACCTCCCGGCCATTACCTACCCGCCGCCTCATATTTCCTGTAATAACATTTTGAGCCTCCAAAATGCTCCGCCATATATATATATATATATATATATATATATATATATATATATATATATATATATATATATATATATATATATATATATATATATATATAAAGGATTATTTCCCACCCAGCTCCTAAAAAAGAAGAATTCGGGAAATAGTGTGCCTTATAAATCCGAATAACCAGACTCTTAGAATCCGCAAATAATCTCCAGGCTTGCTTTGCAAGCATCGCCACGTTAAAGTCCCTCACTTTAGAATAGCACATCCCACTCCAAGCTTTCCACCTGAGACCTTTCTGATCCAATTTGGTTCCTTTCCACCAATATATAAATTAATATATATAATACCGATTGGTAAATGTATACGAGGATCAGGGAGATATTATATTTTCCGTTCCCGTAACTCTAGTTTCAGTTAAATCATCACGGTTTGATAATTTTTTATTTATTTTGGACAACATTTAGTTTATTTTTAATTGTTGGGCATGTAGAATTCAATTTGCAAATACTAAGCACACATATTCAAATATTGTTTCATACTTGAGCTCGAGTTTGAACCTGAACTTTCGAGCTAATCGAACTTGTAACATTTGAGTTGACGAACCAAAATTATCGAGCCGAGTCGAGCCGAATCGAGCCATGTCAATATTTGCGAGTCGAGCTCAAGCCCGGATTTTTTAAGCTCGTTCGAGCTGAGCTCGAGCCAATACAATATATTTCGAGCTCGAGCTCGAGCCTACATAAACTCGGCTCGGCTCGTTTGCACCCCTAGGTGAGAGACAGGGGGTAGGGTAATGTAGGTTAAGGGGTAGGCATGTGGGTGGGATGGGACAGAGGTTAGGGTTAGAGCGTTTAGGGGTTATGGGGTGATAGAGATTCTTTGGGGTACGTAGGGGTCAGAAAGTCAGAAGTAGGGTTAGGGGCCGAAGGTAGAGGCTAGAGGTAGGGTGCTCCGATGATTTTTCCCTGTGAGATGGTAGGAAAGGTATACTTATTCCCTCCTTACCGACACTCCCACCCCAACTCCAACAACCACCATCTACCTCACCCCCACACCCAACCACCCATCCAAGCCATATCCACACACCCTTCAACTTGTAGCCCTTACCCTCCCTACCCATCACCCTTACCCCATCCTCAAACCCTACCCAAAACCCTTACCCCAACAAAAACCCCATGGAGGATAAGGTAAGGGTGGGAGTTGGAGGGTGAGGGTTGGGTGTAGAGGCAGAGTGAAGGGGTGAGGGCAGGGGTAGGGTAAATGTAGGTTAGGGGTAATGGCATGTGGGTGGGTGGGATGGAGTAGGAGTGAGACATGTTGTTAGGGGTATGTTGTGAGAGTGAGTGGGGGTTAAGTGTTGAAGTAGAGTGATGGGGTGAGGGCAGAGGTAAGGTATTGTATGATTGGGTTAGGAATTGTGGGTGGGTGGTGAAGATGGGGCAGGGGTAAGGTAGGATGTTAGGGGTAAGTTATGGGGGTCAGGGTTAGGGTGCGAACAAAGGTTTCACGTGTGTGGGTTCAAAAAGTTAAGGGTAAGGGATCAACTTCGGGAGGACTTGAAGAAAGAGCAGGAACAACATGAGCTCCTAGTGCCCGCTACTAAATCAAATGCAGGTATTTTTACCACTTGACAACCTCCAATGCCGCCTCACATGCATACCATGGGTTCGGGGGTTCACCTCTACCCGAGGTTATTCCGTAATGCAACTCCAGATGCATTTCATGTTGTTTTATCAACTCGTGCAACAATTCTTCACTTCACATAGAAAACCCAGTAGTCAACAACGCGGTCAAAGCGATCAAGGAAAGGGATACTTATTACTTTGAAAAAATTTAACATGTTGCTTAGTAAAACATGAGAGATGTGATGCTTATTAATAGATGCATTGAGACATAAAAATGCTTACTAAGCAGTAATTTATTTAAAACATTGTTTACTTTGTAAAATGATGAAATTAATTGTGAAATAAATATCTGCTAAGTAATACGTAGTAACTCTCTAAAATACAATGTACAACTCTTACTTTGTTTTACAATTAATTTCATTCTTGTTAAAATATAATTGAATTAGTCATCTTCTAAGTTCTAACTATGCACGATTAGAAACTATTATCATCATTATCAAATTAATTAGGAAATCATAATTATGATTTCAAAATGATAACCGCCTGATTCACAATTATTCCCTAATTCAAAGGAGCTTAATTTTTCTCCTATAAATAAGAGTCTTCTCTGTTTCATGTGTTTGCCAATTCAAGAACAACTTTATTAAGTGTATTATTAATATAAACTCTCTCTCTAATCTTCTGTTTATTTCTTTCCATTTCATAACAATTTCTTTTTTGGAGAAACTAATATAATCCCCATAATGGTCTCTAGTTAAAGTAATTATTTGAAGAAATAAAAGTTTTTTTGCAAAATCTTTAATATACTTAGGAGTAATTGTTAAATTAATTATTTCAGCGTTAACTTTGATATATACAAGTAATATAACGCAGTTAAAACAAAATGACAGTTTGATCACTTTTAGCGTTTTCAATAAATGAAAACGTTGTTCGGTAGAAAGCTATTCGGCCTAGCCTTCTGGACTGAACCATTGAAATAAAATACGTAGCATGATGTTTTGTACTAATTTTACTGTGATCCCATTGTAATTATTGGAACCAATGATTCATGTTCCCGAACTCTATTAATCAAGCTACATGATATTAACTGCCTCCTAATCCAAAGGGCATCGTCACTAACACAATCCCATCTTCATCTGCAAATGGAAAACGGAATCAAGTCGGAGACGCGGATTTTGTGAATGGATCCGCCGATGGCCGCTTCTCCCACGGCATCGTCCACCAGGGCCACTAGTTCTTGGCTTTCCGGTATTGTCCGGGGCCGCTCAAAGAGCGTTCCAAATAATTCGACCGCTTCCGCCCACACCGACTCCGTTAACGACTCGCCTATTACTAAGAAAAAGCAGTTCCGTGGAGTCATGTTTAAGTACGGCCCCAATTCTATCCAGGTTTGCTGAAAGACTGATTTTTTATTATTTTTTGCTTCCTAAAACTCTGTTAGTCAAGTACATAGCTGTCAGAAGAACTTGACATTAGTGTTGGCAGTTATAAAACAGTATGCACTTCTATAGTTCTATGGAGGTCAATTTTTTTACTCCTCTGTCCCAAAAATTTCTTCCCATTTTACTTGGTGGACCTTTTCAAATAGCTAGCTATTCTCATGGATAAAATGGCTTCTTCTAAAGAGAAGGAAAAGAGTTTTATGGGACGGAGTTAGTATGTACTTGTGCATTGGCTTCACAATATAAAAATCCTCAAATCTTTGCACGTATTTCCTGAATGCATGCTTTTTTGTTAGAAAGTGCTGCTTTAGCACTACATTAAAAAAACCTTTATAATTGTATGCAAACCATTTTGCAGGTAGCTTTCAAGACTGGTGACTATAAGCAACAAGTTATTTTTATAGGCGGACTAACAGATGGATTTTTGGCTACAGAGTATGTATAAGCAAGAAGTTTGTTTATTTGTTTGAGATTTGTAGATATTTACTTGGTTCATGATTGATGTTGGTACTGTTTAAATCGCATTACTCTGCTTGGAATGTTATTTTCTTCATGGAAAACTGATTATCTTAAATGTTATTATTGGTTTCTTAAACATTTGTATTACCCTAGGGCTTATATCAATCTGCACTGGATAGCCCTCAGACCTCAGTCATGTCTATATGAGAATATTAAGAGGTCTCATGAAAAGTAAATATAAGTTCAAAATTAACATTCTGACTTCACATATAAGTTTAAATAAGAAGAGAAGGATAAAATGTGTATATTCGTTCTCTCGATTCATGCCTATATATTTACTTTTGGGTATATCTAACATGGGATTGATGTGTGGGAAATTATTTGATTTTTTACAATTTTTTGTTAAATTAAGAAAGACCTAAAGAGTGTGAGAACTTCACAAATAAAGAGAGACTCTTTCTGCCCTTGGGTTATAACAAAGACATAATCTTGAACTTATAAATCATTCATTGGAAATATTTTAACCTGTTAACTCTTTCTATTATGTGTGAACTAGGATCTTTCTTACTGCATGTACATGTTTGTAGTTTCTGAAGTTGGCAGATATTTTTGCAGGTATTTGGAGCCTTTGGCGATTGCTTTGGATAAAGAGAAATGGTCACTTGTTCAATTTCTTCTTTCATCTTCTTATAGTGGATATGGGACCTCAAGCTTGAAACAAGTAATCATTTGTTTCCCAAATGCTTTCCAATGGGCCATGGGTCCTGTGTCTTTTAAAATTCTTTCTTCTATTGAATATTTTGAGTGACTTTTTTTTATGTATATCTTCTAGTGAACATTGGGTGGTCTTTTATATAGTCTGTTAAATTTATTATGCTCCTTATGTTTGAAGGATGCCGTAGAGCTTGATCAGCTGATAAGTTACTTGATAAACAAGGAAGATTCTGAGGGTGTGGTACTTCTTGGACACAGTACTGGATGTCAGGTAGTCAAGGATTCATTTTTATTACAGTTTGAATATAAGGAGTTAGCATTCATTCTGTCCAAATAAAGGGCACAACATGTAATGTGAATGTGTGATTAGTGCCTGAAGTGATGACTATCCTGTCTGGTTTTGAAATGTAGGACATCGTGTATTACTTGCGCACCAATGCTGCATGTTCTAGAGCTGTTCGTGCCGCCATTTTGCAGGTAATCTACTTACTTGAACATCTAGCTTACAATTTTATGCTCCACTCGTTCTTCTACTATTATTTAGCCTTTTTACCTGCTTATTGCTGAGTGTCCCGTATCAGTTTTCTATTGAGTTTGAGTCTAGTAAATAACTTTGAGGTAATCCTTATCTCTTATGGATAATATTGAGGCAAGTTAGACCTGATTTAATATGCTATTAAATTCAGGTGCAGCATTGGTTTGTGGGGCAACCCCTTTTGGGATGATTTTGGCCAATTTGTCTACCCTTTAGTTTTCAAACTGACTTGGGTTGGGGGTGTTCAGGATCTCACATCTGTTGTCTACTTTGTATGAGTCCAATTTATATATGAGGTAACCTTTAAATCTTGAGGATCCTTTTGATGTGAGTCATGATGCCCTATTTTCTGTACAGGCTCCTGTTAGTGACCGGGAATACAGAGCGACTCTACCTGATACTGCTTCAATGATTGATTTGGCCTCAAAGATGATAAGTGAAGGTCGGGGTTCAGAACTAATGCCACGGGAAGCAAACCCAGATGCACCTATAACTGCATACAGGTTAAGTTCATTACTTCAATTTCCATTTCTCTCTACTATTAGCTGCAGCTTTACACACTGGCAGCCTTCATTTGTTTCATTTTTGGTTTTTAGGAGTTCCGAGTTCATAATTTGTAGTTAAACAATATATGTACAGCCTCAAGAATCTTGAATTATCCTTTTATGTTTGATAATTGACATAGTGATAACTATGAAGCTCAATAAGACGCTTGAATGGGTATCCCCTTGCAATTGCAAGGAGGTTGATCTGAACCTCGGACACAGAAAACAATGGAGAGATTCCATCAAAGAGTCCCCTTTAGGGAAACCTTTTTTAGTCAATGTACTCATCAACGTAGAAGCTTTTACAATGTATGAATGCTCACTATAACTTATTCCCAAAATTATTTGGTGTAATCGACTATTACGGCTTAGTTCTTGGGCACTTGGCTTTATAGGGTTTATATTTTCAAATAAAGGTGTCTTTGAGACTGGACTATTTCTTTGGAAGAAAAAGAGTTCTTGAAACATGACTTTTTTTGGGACAAAGGAAGAAGTTGTAAATCAATTATGAAAACTTGACCTCAGCGGTGTAGATGTGTGCAGGCGCACTTACTTTGAGATGAGTCACGAGTATGCTGAGAATCTGAGTTGGATATGTTATAATAGAAGAGAAGGTATTGTTAGAAGTTTATTTGAAATGGCAGAGAGAGGAAAGCTACCCATAAAGGCAGATTAATATTTACACTCATTGAATATGAAGATGTGTATGTGTTGGTTAGAATGTTAAACACTTAAACTTGCTGTAGTGGGTGGTTAAGATGAAGCTGGAAGCCTGGAACATAGGGATTCTGGAGAGATGCAAGATTGGAAAATGAGGAAACCACTTTTGTTCAGACAAACTACAAACTTGGATATTGTTGTTTTGGGGTTGAACCACTAAGGGCAAACTAGTTAGATTAATAACATTAACCCATTTTTATTAGTTTAAACTTTCCACACTCTTTACCCAAGCTACTAGCAGTTATTTTTCTTGGAAGCAGATTTAAAAACCTTAAAAGCCAACAAAAACTTTAGTTTTGCAGTTGGTAACTCCCAGGCAGGAAATCTTAGCTAGGGAAAGTTTGTTTCAAAGAGACATATAAATCATTTAAACCCTTCTGTTTCTCGTCTGTCATTAATGCCTTATACATTACAAACTATTTTGCAGATATCACTCTCTGAGTGCTTACAATGGTGATGATGACTTGTTCAGTTCGGACCTCAGTGATGATCAGCTGAAACAAAGACTTGGGCACATGGTTAGCACACCTTGTCAGGTATTATCTGTGCTACCCCTTATTTATGAAATCAAAATATTGCTGATTCTGGACTGTATTGTTTTGATAAATGCAGTACAAAATTGTAAACCGGGTACTGATTGAGTAGCATTTTCTTCAGGTGATCTTTTCCATGGGAGACGAGTACGTTCCGGATTATGTAGACAAGAAAGCATTAGTTGATAGGCAAGGAAGTTAATCTTTCAACCCCCCTCCCCCCGCCCCCTCAAAATGATAATTTGGTTCATAAGAGTCCGCTTGAGACTCGGTAATATAGGGTATGTTTTGAAGGAAAGACATTTGTGGGAAAATGAAACATTGATTCAAACTTGATTTTTTTACATTTTATACCTGTTAAAACTCATTCTATTTTACATCAGACTAACTAATGTAAAATATGTGAATAAATTCTTAAACATTCATCCTATTCCATTTTCATTTGCATTTTATGAGGTACCACACAAGAAAATAATTCTCAGCATACTGGTGTTCCTGCCAGTCATAATTCCAGGGTCAAAACACACCCTAAGACTATATATTTGAAACTCTAAAAATGGTGGGGAAAGGAAAATGGGGTTTTCCTGTTTGGTTTTACATTGTCAAATACGAAGTATGAAGTATAGTCATATTTGATTACACTTTCAAAGCTTTTGATTTATGTATATTTCTTAGCCTGTACATAATACTTCATTACAGATTACACTTTCAAGTATTAGTAACTAAATGAAATGTGTTTGAATACAACATCCAAGCCTTAGTCCCAAAAGAGTTTGTAGTTGGCTAACATTAATTGACATATGAAATTAGAGCTAAAACAGATAAAAAAGATAAGATAAGATAAAAGAGATAAAAGAAGATAAACAAGTAAGATAAAGTAAAAATATAAGATAAAAAAGATAAAGAAGATAAGAAAGATAAAAAAGGAAAAAGCTAAAAAGATTAAATAAGATCAATCATCCGCACGAAATGAAATGTGTTTGAATAAACATAAAAAAAATATATTGAGGTTGAAGCTTTTTTTTTTTTTTTGTTTACCTCATATTATCTGTTCTATTTTCCTCATATTTTTTTCATAGCATTTCCCGAGTTCCAAATATAAGCTAACTGTACTTGATTGGTTAAACGTATGTTCTTTGTCTCTTCTTTTGTGCACAGGTTATGTAGAGCAATGGGTGGGGCTGAAAAGGCTGAGATTGAGTACGGAAACCATTCTTTATCAAACAGAGTAGGAGAAGCTGTTGAAGCTATCATGAATTTCGTCAAGAGAGATGGCCCTAGTGGGTGGGACGACCCTTGGACATAATACCTGTTCTCACTTCTTGCACCCCCACCCCTACCCCCATCACTTATTTTTGCTTTTCTTGTTTTTTTTTCCAATTCTTTTACTGCTGTTTCACTTATGTATTTTCTTATACCTTCATTTGTTTTTGAAAGTATCTGTAAATCATCACAACCTACAAGCTTGTTTGGGACATGTTTCAAGTTCATAGGCTCCAAGAAAATAATTGTTTGGGGAATTTGTTCCCTGCTAAAACTATTTTCCTTGGATATAAGTTCTATGTAATATAATGTTGATGAAGTATTAACTCCTAGAGAGAAGTGAGAGCTAGAGAGATAAGTGCGGTAAATGTTTTGTATTAATAATTTGTGAACCCCTACAACTACTCCCAAGGGGAGTATTTAGAGAGGAAATTAGGGCTGTGCTCCCAAGTCTTGGGCTTGGGAGGCTCATTTACAATTGAGCCACTATTGGGCTGAGTACAAGATATGTAGAGATGACTTAGCACAAAATTCGGTTCTGGGAACCTTTTGTGGCTGACGCGGCCACGGCCGACGTGGTCACGGCCGACGCGGCCACGGCCGACGGAGCCCCGACCGACGGAGCCTCGACCGACGGGGACACCCGGTTCTCTTGGCTTCCAGACCATGTTCTGAGTTGATGTCTTTCTGGCCGATGGGGGGCCATCTGGTCGATGGAGGCCCCACTGGGTGACAGCTGTGCCTCTTATTCTTCTGAGTATGTTGGTCCTGGGGTCTAGATCCATATACTCTGTTTTATGATGTTTTTACTTAGACTGTTTTTCAGTCCCAGACTAGATTTATATAGACCAGATTAGACTTAAATAGATCAAATTAGACTTCCATAGTTATAAAATACGCAGACTAATCATTTATCTGACTAGATTTAAATAGACTAGATTAGACCATAAAATTTCAGTCAAAGTAAAACAACATCCTTACTTGCAAAAACAAAAAACAGAATTGCAAAAATATATTCTTCCTTGTTTTATGAAACTAGTTTTCCTTATTACAATAACACATTTCCCACAAAACATGAAAAATATCCTGCTGGAAATATTTTTTCATTGTGAAACAGAAATATATTTTCCTGGAAAGAAATATCGTTTGAGAAGAGGAAAATGAGAAACCATTTTTCAGGGAAATGTTTTTGTACAAACAGCATAGCCTTGGTAGAAACATTCATTGAAAACTTATCATTTCTTTGTTTTGTCAGCTTCTTGGTTGAAAAACAACAAAGATGTTGGAACCAGAGTTGGCAGATGCGGCAGAGACACTGGTTGTTGTTGACTAAACAATGATTTTTATTCCAAAACAGAAAATTGATTTTTATTCTATAATCATCATCATTTCAATTTCAGTTTTTAATGTTTCCCACTAGCAATTGTTCTTTGCCGGTTTTACTTTTATGGAAATCTTTGATATCCGTACTTGCTTCACTTTTTTTTACAAGCCACTACAAATATGAAATATACTTCTCTTATTTAGATCCCGTTTGGCAGCATGAAAATTGATTGTTCGGGTTTATTCTGCTGAAATTTATGAAGTTCTGGCTGAAGTGGCTGCATTGGCTGATTTTGTTAATACAAGAAAAACATATTTTTAAAATATATTTTATTAATAAAATAGAGAAAAAATTATATGTAAAATAGCTAAAATGGTCATCTACAGTAACTTCAGCCAATACAGCCAGAAAAGTAACTCCAACCTTACTTTTTCGGCTTATTACACAATTCAGCGCACGAAAGCAAACTTTACGTGTTTGGTAAAAAAGTTGGCTGATAAGTCTGATAAGCCGAAAATGAGGGTTGCCAAACGGCCTATTAATAGCAATATTAATGTTAAAATTTGTCAATATACTCCCTCCGGTTCTTAATGAAGTTTACACTTTGACTTCACACATATTAAGGAAATAAATTTGACTGTACTACAGAGTACACTGTTTGACACTGTTTAACATTGTTTTGCATTGTTTAGTGTACATTTGGTTGCCAAATAAGGTAAATAAGGAAGTCTAAAGTTTAAAATTGTAAAATTAATTAAGAACACATCTCTAACTCTTAAAATGTTGAATTGAATATTAGTAAACATTAACAATGTATTTCAACAAATAGATGTGGAAAAATCAATCAACAATGTATTTGTCAACTATCCTAAACATTAAAACATAGAAGGGTGCGGAACCATGCAACATCCTTCGTTTATTTTCCCTGTATTTCTTAGGATGTTTTTACTTGGACTGTAATTCGTCCCAGACCAGACCAAACCAGACCAGATCAGACCAGACCAGATCAGTTCAGACCAGACCAGACTTGAATAGTTATAAAAATACAAAGAAACCAGACCAGACCAGACCAGACCAGACCAGTCCAGACCAGACCAGCAAATTACGGTCCAAGTAAAAACATCCTTACTCTTCAAGACTTCAACTACTAGTTTTTCATTGAGAAAATTCTTACAATAGGAGCCAAATATATCTAAAATGCAAAAAAGAAGTTAATGTTTAAGATTCTTCAAATAAGAGTAATAGTTTGTGATTGGATTAAAATTCGATTGTTGGGTTTGAAGCTATCAACCACTTCAATCTGACATCCACCTCCGGATTGCAGAACACGAGCACTAGACCGTGTATTTTTGTACACACACAATATATTAGTCTTATTTAACATAGGGAGATTAAAACATGAACTCATATTTTTACTTTGATGTTATACTCCTATTTTAGTCCATTTTTATCTTCATTTTGTTATACTATTCACTATTTGGGTAGGTCCGGTGTTGTTTCAGATGGGCCAAAAACTGATATGGCAAGAAACAAATTAGTTCCAGGGAAATTAAATTGTAAGAGAAAATAAATTGAGAGTATTTGAGGAAGAGAGTCAAGACATAACAAGAATGCTAGATAACCTAAGATGTATGTGAATAAGTTTAAAACTCTAATTGACATTATTATCATATCAGATTCATGGAAGTATGACTTTCTCAGATTCATGAACCAAACATGAACATCAAATATTTCTTACATCACACTCCGGTATGCATGCGAGATCACCCGAAATGGTCCCGAACCAAATGGGCCCAGAAAGTTGTGAAAATAATGTTTAATATGAGTAACTTGCTCTTATCAAGAGCATAAACCATATGTGCCCCTTTTTATGCATTTTCTTATTATGCATTTTCCTATTGTATTAGACTATTAGTCCGGTAGTCCCACATGGGACAATTTAATTTTTATTATTTATGAAATAATGGGAAATGATACTCCAATAAGAGCTTTAGCAGATATATTTATAATAGAAAAGTTGTCAAAATACAAAATATTCCTAAATAGATATTATGCATAGTCGTAAATAGATATTGGGTTATTATAATTTTCAATCGGTCTCAACAATTAAAGCTTCCCTATTAAAAAAAATAAAATCACACTGAATGCCATTAAAATCGAATACAAATGTAATAAAAACTTTTATAAAACGTCAGAAATTATTACAATAAATGGAGGCATGAACGAGAATCTCATTATGTGGAGGGAATTATAGTAACAATTTATCGGTGTTAGGTTTATTAATAAATAGTTTTTGGGTTGAGATTCTCTGCCGTGCAGCTGAGTACCTTGTGGCAAGGGAAACGTCCGATCAGAAAAATGTGTCTCGAGATGCGGATCACGAGATCTCTGGCGTTGAAGTTTTGATCGGACGACACCGAAAGACCGGACACTGTGCCTTGCTCTAAAGAAGACATAGATTCCGGATCCGCCGCATGATTGGATCAACGCCAAGTACTTTTTATGTTATCCAAACAAATTAAATTTTCACTTTTTATGTTCCGTTTTTTTTTAATTTAGATTGTTCCAAAAAAGGTGGAATCTCCCACCCCAGGAGCCCCCCACCCCGACCCGACTGGATGATGTTTTTTTTTTTTTTTTTTTGAAAAAAAAACGTCAAAACCTGTTGAATTTAGAAAATTAAACCAAAGTGGGCTTGACTGCTTGAGATTGGCAGTGATATACTTTGTGACATCTCAAAAGCTAAAGCGGTGCGTACGTAGTGGGAAATTTGGTCGGAGGCGGTGCCGAAAGGCCTGGATTGGTAGGGGGATATTCAAAAGAGTCAAAACTTGTCCCGAACTCCCGACTATTTCAAATACTATCCTCTTTTTAATGGAACATTAACTAAATTTTACACTATTATTTTATGGAAATAATTTTTTTTAAAAAAATAATTTTCAATTCATCTCATTACAAATTTTCAAAATCTGATTTTTAATATTTTTTAGTAATAGAGATTAAGATATATTTACGATCAAATGGGTGCGTTTGCAAATGTGCAAAGGTAGACTGTTGCAACTAAAAAAGAACGGAGGAAGTATAACGTTGAATTAATGATATTTTTAGTAAAACTTATTTCTGTCTAGATAAACTATATCAGACTTTGCTTTCTAAAAAAACTATATAAGACTTGACAGGGGGTATTTGAATCCGATTCTTAAAACTGCTTCTGCTCCTTCAGGGAGCAGAAGAAGAAGTTGGAGTGTTTGGGTGAAAGTGCAGAAGTGATTCTGGTGCTCTAATTTACTCCTAGAATCAGTTTTTTAGAAGTTGGGGGTGACCGACTTCTGAAAACTGATTCTGATTTTGCTTCGGCTTTAAAAAAAAGAAGCAGAAGCAGTTCCAAACACCCCCAAAATAACGCTACAACAAAAACATCCAAACCTTAGTCCCAAAAGATATTGGGCCCAAAATAACAGTTAAATATTTTCATTAATGATGGTAAACATGTTACGATCTGTGCCAGATGTGGTTTTGAAACGAGCTTTTTGGAATGTCATCGTGCCAAAAGCTAGGTATCTTATGACATGTGCGAAACTCTATCGTTCTATGTCAAGACCGTTTTTTTATATAGTGATTATACGGCCGTGGGGAAGAGTGGACTTGTTCTTAACTTTCATAATAAATACTCCGTATTATTAATGGGGTCTAGCTAGTAAATAGCTTAATAAAAGATACTACGTATAACGTTAGAATAAATGTTGTTAATGCTAAGTATAAATGTGAATATTGTCCATGCATCTTGACGATGGCCTGATATAATAGTGACTATATTGGAACCACTGAACTAAATAAATCACCGAATTCGATTTTGTCATAAAGTTTGTTTACTTACATTATTAACCATGACACACATGCATTAATAATCTAAGTTTACTACTTTTGAAGGCTCAATTATCCTAAATAGGACTAAAAACGTTTATGTATTTCAAAATAGGACTATTATGTTTTTATTTCCTAAATAGGAGTAATTATTGACATTGTTTTGATAGTATCAACCTTTAAATTTGACAATTTT